TAGATTATTCCAGAACTTCACATAAGCCTTGTACTTTCCTATCACACCGAGGCTTGACAACTGGGTCTCACAGGACATGATATTTATCTCAGTTTTTCAGGGTTTCCTAAAGATGCTGTTGCTCCCCAGAAAACAGGAAGTAATTTAAGAATATAACACCCATATTCCCAAGAAATGGGGTGGGTGAATTTTGGTCATTCAGTGGATTATGGATTTTTGTCATTGTTTAGGCTAGTTGGTAGCAAGTTGTTATTGGTCATAGTCAGGGAAGAAGCCAAGCAAAAGAGATTAGATACAGGAATCTTGTTCTGACAATAAAAACAGAGTAAATAAGAATAATAGGATAAAAAGGGAGATTATTGAATCTATTTCCAAACTAAAAAAGCAACTACTAGTCTCAAATATTTTACATTGGTATGAATTTTTGCACACATACAAAGTTAAGGTTATTTTTGTTATACTGCATATATGTTTCTATTCTTGATTAAGATACTTTTATATATTGATACAAACTTAAGGTTATTTTTGTGATGGTTCTGTTCTTATTTAAAGTATTGTATTGGTTCTGTTCTTATTTAAAGTATTGTATCTATGCAGCTCATTTAAAAATGTAAAATTCTAGTCCTTGAAAGCTATTTAGGATAATAAAGAAAGATAGATAAGTAATTAGTCATGTATAACAACCAAGCTTATATTCATGTTAGGTATGTTTTCAAGGCCAAACAGAGACCTATTTTAAAATATACAGATGGTCAGCAAACACTTCAGAGATCTACAGAATATGAAATTTAAAATGTTTTAATAGCATGAGGCTTTTCATGACAATGAGACACGCCAGCTCCTGGCAGCACCAATTTACTTCAAAACAGGATGATGGGCATTGAAGAACCTTCATATGGAGTTTGCCTTCATTGTGGCAGGGCTATCCACTGGGCAAAAACTTGCCCTTCCCTTCATAGTATGCTGTACAAATTGGACAAGCAGTTCACAAAAGATGATGGCTGAACTTTCCCAAGATGAGGTAAGATAGTACTTCAAAATTCCTGCTTCACAAAAAAATCTGTCAGAAATTCTAGGCCTGTAGGTCAAAGATGGGTGCCCCAATGTTGCAAAGGAACTTTGGGTGACTGTCTAGGCAGTCAGATGTTTCTGCCATTTCTATAGTTTTGCAAGTTGTTTGCTCTGTACTTCATGTTTAGTTAGGTAATATTTTATCTTTCTCTGATATTTGATGGGGGTTGAAGGTATAAATGTATAAGGATGAGAGACATAAAAGCTTAAGTGGTTTATCTAAGAAAATGTTTTGTGGTCTAAAAAGATAGTTTTGGGTTGGCAACACAAGTTAAAATAGAAAGTGAATTAGGTACAAAAGTTTAGATTCATCAATATAGAATAGATAATGAGTAACTTCTTCAAATTTACCAAATACAAATGGACTAGACATTGTGAATGTAATACTTACTTGGTACTTGTTCTTATTGTATATAGTTTTACTATGTTAGAATTAAAACCTTTCCTTTTTATTTATACAAAAAGGGAAAATGTTGAGGAATATTTATTTTCACTGTAAAGATGTATCTCTGCCTAAGGCAACTTATGATTGGATTAATAAAGAGCTAAATGACCAATAGATAGAAGAGAATAAGTGGGACTTCAGGAGAGAGAGGGGACTCTGAGAGGAAGAGAGGTGGAGACAACAGTAAGATGCAGTGCAAGTTGATCATAAAGCATAGAAGAGAGGTAAAAGTTATATGGCAGAATGTAGATTAATAGAAGCAGACTTATTTGAATTATAAGAGTTAGTTGGGAAAAAGCCTAAGCTAAAGGCCAAGCATTCATAATTAATAAGAAGTTTCCATGTCATTATTTGGGAACTGGCGGCTCACAAGAAAGACTAGCTATGTATCTTTGAAACAATGTTAACAACGTTTTAACTTTTTAATAGTGGATGTGTGATGGGAAGGGTATATATGGAGGTCAGAGGATAACTCCGTGGTGGTGTGTTCTCCATTGTAATCTACCATGTGGGAGCTGGGAAATTGATCCTTTTAAAGAGCAGCCAAAGCTCTTAATGGCTGAGCCACCTCCACTTTATTTTTTGAGACAGGGTCTGTCAATGAAGCTAGAGCTCACCAATTCAACTAGCCTGGCTGGCTAGCAATCTCCAGGGATTTGCTGTCTTTGTCTTTTCTCCATGCCTGGTCCCCTGTGACTCTGTATGGCTTTTCCATGGTTGATAAGGGTCTAGATGCAGGGTCTCTTGCTTGTGTGGCAAGCACTTTATGAACTGAGTCATTTCCTAGCTTGTTCAAGTTCTTAAATTTGTATTTTGTAACATGTACACCGTCTTTTTGGGAAATCAGTTCATTTCATATTCCTTTTTATAATTTAAAGCTATTTAAATTCATTTCTACTTTGATGAATCTTTGCCTCACTTTTTATATGATGGTATCTCTATGTGTGGGAAGTGTGTGTGTGTGTGTGTGTTATTACTTTGTGAGTGAAAAACTCCCTGGTTATGGATTTAATTGAATTATAATTTTTCTCCCTCAAACTGTGAAACACTACTCCATTATCTTTCTAATTCCTTTACTGGTATCATAATACCTGGAAAGTTATAGAACACTTATTTTATCCTGGAGGTTCAATTCTTTTTCCAGAATATATCCTACCTTTATTGCAGTATTTGTTTTTTTCATGTGGCCCCTAGAAAGGTACTGTGCTCCTTAAACTTTCTGCACATAGTCATGTTCAGAGTTGAGTTTTTATACTGTGAATACTAAATGCATAAACCTTTTGCAGGTTATACAGAATGTTCTATGAGGTTCTATTATTTGACTGTTTCTGTCTTCTTAATCATCCATGATATTTGTGAACCTATGAGCATTACATCATCGTCTCTAAGAGCGCTTAGTGACCCAAAGTTGACCAAAATGCCTTTTCTCAAAAAGTTGTACAACTGGCCTAAACTGTGTCAAACACCATCCTAAAATTTTTGGCAGTGTATATACATACTTGCCAAAAAGTAGAGCTAGAGCTTTCCTTTTTGGTATTTTCTCTATTCCTTTCATTTCAAGCCTAGAACTTCCTACCTGCTACATGAAGTATCTGGACCAGATACCCATCCCAGGACCTGATGGAGCAGGTCCTGAAATTCACATCCATAGAGCAGGAATGGAAAGTCTCTGCTTCACAGCACAAGGCCCTATACCCCTGCCTAATTCTGATTTTGCCAGGCAGCAAAGTAAAAAGAGAAAAACAGAGACCTCCAACAACATTCCCAGGGCATGCACAATCCCACAAATTAGCATTAGTGGTATTCAGAACTGAGAAAGTCACACCAAAATGAACAGTTTCAAATCGTAAAGCCTATAGGCTTTGCTCAGGGCCCTTTTCAACATTCATATGTGCTTGACACTCCTAAGGGAGACTCCTACAACATGCGTTAGCAACTGTGATGCCTAATTTTATATCAACTTGATGTAAGCTAGAATCATTCAGTAAGAGCGAACCTCAGCTGAGAAAATGCCTCATAAGACTAGGCTATAGGCAAGTCTCTGGGGGCATTTTCTTAATTAGTGATTGATCCAGGAAGACCCAGCCCATTACGGTGCTATAAGAGGTAGACTAAGCAAGCCTTGAGGAGCAAGCCAGTATGCAGCATTCCTCCATAGCTTCTGCATCGGTTCCTGCCTCCAGGTTCCTGATTTGTTTGAGTTCCTGCTTTCACTGCCTTCAGTGATGAATTGTGATATAGGTGTATCCTCCCCAAGTTGCTTTAGGTCATAGCATTTCATCACAGCAACAGTAATCTAAATATACTTATAAGAAGCTGATAATCAAAATGTACTTTTCTTCATACGGCAAAATATATTTACCAATAAAACATACTAATTAAGCATAGAACACAAATATATAATATTAGCTATAAAAATCAAATGAGGATAATAAAAACTTTTAGTATTTACATGATCTTTTCTTTTAAAAATTTAAAAAATTTTTAAATTTCTTTTAAAAATTTGAGAATTTTACATATTCTTTCAATAAAAGAATTAAAATATACACAGAAATATATACTAAAACCCATATTCATGGACACTATATACACATAAAAATTAAAATGTTAAATTTTTCTTATGTAATGAAAAGCTATTGTATTTTATACATAAATTAAAATGTAGATTACTCTTGAAATATAAAATAAATTGAGATAATTTACAAAAAATAGTTTCTTAGAGCTAGACAAAACAACATGAGTAGACATGAATAAAAAATTAAATTGGACATTACCTGCAATATTTTAGTCTGTATACACAGTGTTAACAATGTGGATGCTTCATAATGCTTAGGTGTTTGTTACAGTTTCCTTTATGTCTCCTGCCCAGTGGCAGGATCTCTGACTGATCAATAAAACTGCTCATGAAACACTCAGAAACACAGACCTGGTCAAGTGAGCCCCTGATCACAGAAGTCAATATGTGGTGGCCTTTTCTGGCATTTTTGTCATTACCACACTTGACGAAGGGGCTTTGGGACGTTTAAATGACCATTCTGGCTTCAAAGGTGAAACAAGGAATCCTATCCCTTTTCATTCTCACATCTCTGGCTAGCTCTATTGCTGCTTTAGATAAAGCTTTCTTTTCTTTGAGATGGGCTGGGGGGTGGGGGAGGGTCATCCTCAATATATAGACCTGGCTGGCTTGGAACCTGCCACGTGGATAGGCAGGCCTGGAACTCATAACTATGCCAGATCCTTCTTTTTAATTACATATACTCATGTGAGCCTGCATGTGGGTATCTACATGTGAGTTTAGTTCTTCCAGAGGCAGTTTGACTCCTTAGAGCTGGAACTACAGGCTGCTGTGATCCACCTGGTGTGGGCGGCGGGACCGGAACTCGGGTCCTCTGGAAACAGTATGTGCTTGAACTGATGAGCCATTCTCCAGCCCTCACAAAGCTTTTTAAAGTGAGATGCTTCTGAAGACGAGTGCATGTCTTACCTGCGCTTTCATCTCAGCATAAATCTTCTCAGAGTTCATCTCTACCTGCCTCTTAAACTCCTCCAGGGCAGCATCTGCCTGCTGGGCCTGTGACCTCTGAACCTCAGTCACGCGGCTGAGCTGCTCCTCCTTCTCCCTACAAAGTTCATAAAGTTCCAGAGTTACATGGGGAAAGGACAAAGAAGGGACTGCGGGGTGGGGGTGGGGAGGAGCAGAAATGCTGGAACTGTATTTTAATTTCAAAAAATTTTTAAATTAAAACAAAAAGAAACAGGCTTCAATAAAAGAACAAAATTAGCCCTCTCTAAAACAACACTCAGATTGTATTTTCTGATCCATATTCTATGAAATATCTCTTTCAAAATATGACAATTGAGCAATCTGTCTGGGGAGGGAGGACAAAAACATACAATATGTATTTTGATGATGACATAGCTACAAAGATTCCCCTAAAAACAAACTATACAAAACTATGTATCTCCACCAACTGGTGTATAAACAAAATGTAGTATATCTAGACAATGGAATATTGCTTTTTAAGTAGGAATTTTCTATATATACTACAATATGGAGACTACGTATATAAAATCTTCAAAATATTAAGGTAATAAAGTAAGTCAGTCATTAAAAAAATCACATGTGATCCCACTTATGTAATAAGTTCAGAACTGAAAAACCTATATTCAGAAAATAAATCTGTTGCTGGGGACTAAGGGAATGTGGGACAGGAGATTGGTTACTTAATGGATATGTGGCTTCCTTTTGAGTCATCAATATGATATGGAATTGGATAGTGGTAATAGTTACCACTATCATATAGCTATCAAACTATGCTTTTTAAATGAGTGAGTGTCATGGTGTGTGGATTTTAACGATAGGTAGAAAGACACATGCATACAGAGCCATACAGTGGCCTAAAACTGTTGTACTAGTTTATTTTTCTAAAACTGATGGCCATCGCATCTGCTCCTACTGAAAGCATTCACTCAAAAGAGCATTACAAAACAACAGAACTCTCCCCATCCTGATAACTTGAAGTCAATAATGTATAAATTCATTCAAGTTCTGAAGTTCTGACTAGGCTCCAGGCGTTAAGCAAAGTATCTGTATATATCATTTATCCTTTCTCTTATAAAGTCATGTGAGAGTTACTGCCCTTTCTCTTACAGAACAGGAAACTCGGGTTTGAACCACTTCTAAGGTGGTCCTTCTTGTGGGAGCTCAAGCCAGGACTCAATAGCTGCAGTGGCTTCCAGAGTGCCTGCAGGTGGACACCTCATTGTGCTGCTTTCCTGAGGAATCTTCCTTCCCTACTGGGTAAGTTCATATAAACACACAAAACTGCCTGCTCCAAACTGTAACAATGACAGTTGCCAGGAGATTGAACGATTTAACTCATGTAAATCAATATGTGAATTTTATCACAGTGGGAGGAAACACCCTTCCCAAACTATTACACTACTGCCTTTTAAAATAAGAGCAAAGCTGGGCGGTGGTGGCACACACCTTAAATCCCAGCACTTGGAAAGCAGAGACAAGTGGATCTCTGTGAGTTCGAGACCAGCCTGGCCTACAAGAGCTAGTTCTGGGACAGGCTCCAAAGCTACGCAGGGTCATACCTCTAAGATATATCATTATAGGTTCTCCTATAAAAACATATATATCATATATCAGAATGTCAAACTTTCTCCCTCACTCTAACCTGAAAAACCTTTTCCAAAGCCTGAATGGCCAACAGACTGACAAGAAAAATGGCAAGTAGCTTCCATTTAAGCAGGGCTCTCCAATCTTTTTATAATCAGATAGTGTACATGGGGGTTACTGTTCTTTCCAGACTCCATCACCATCCCCACCCTGTGTTTGAGTACAGCACATCTGTATCTAAGGAACCCTTTGCATATGGGCTAAATGAACACACCACGAATCTTCCTTTCCATGTAAGAACCATCTGTGTCTATTTATGCCTTCAAATCCTCCTCTGTGTCTATCTACTTGGACCCCTATAATAATCACTGCAGTATCCACCGTGACAAACCAATGTCTTCTACAGGAATCCCTTCTCCTCTTTTTTATAATGATAGCCACTATTTGTATGCCCTCTGGGGTTTAAGGCTGCCCCATGGCATGTGATACCAAGCATGGGAACAAAGCCATTCTAATCAGGCTGCAGGCCAGATGCTGCTCATAGTCACTGCACTGCACTTTATAGCAATGGGGAACAGACTTCTGGAATTTTAAAAACCTTTCCTTCACGTGTTCATTTTATTTAGTGTGTGTGTGTGTGTGTGTGTGTGTCCCACACACATGAGCACACATGCTAGTATACATGTGTGCAGGTACACATGCTTATATGCATATGAAAGCAGAGGACAACCTTAGGTATATGCAAGAACCATGCACTCTTTGTTTAAGCTGGTATCTCACTGGTCTGAAACTCATCAAGCAGGTCAGGCCAGCTGGCCCCAGAGCCTGGGGAGCTTCATTGCTCTGCCTCCCTAATGGGATGACAAGTGTGACCCACCACACAGTTTCTTTACATGGGTTCTGGGGACTGACCTCTTGTCCTCATGTTTGCACAACAAGCACTTTACCAACTGTGTCATCTTCTCAACCCCAATGTGTTCACATTTAACAGAAAGAAAGCTATCTTTTGTCTACTATTTTTCCAACACATTTTAAAACAAATATCTTCAAGGTTAATGGAGTTCTAAGTTGCAAGTCCCCAAAATCAGTAATGATTTTTGCCACTCAACATTATAAACTCTTAGATTGACCCTAAGACGTCATTATATAAAAGATCAAGCACTCTGGTGGCTATTGGAGCTTTAATTTAGTTTGGTGTATCCACACTATATTGATCTACCCAAGAATCAGAAAGCCTTGAGCTGTATGTGCAACTTTGTTATATATACTGAATAAATTGACTGACAAATTATTTGCATATTGAAACTGAATATAGGAACGTTGTAAAGTCAGAAGTGTATAGCTACCACAATTTAAACTTCAGGAGGCAAATGGATGTTGTCTGGTGGGATGGTTCCTAGTGGCAGCAAGAGATTACTTGTTTCTGTTGGAAGCAAGCTCCAGTTGGAAGCAGGTATGGTTGGTAACTGGTGAGCCCATTCCAGTGTTGAGTTAGGCAGGGCAAGGGCTATTCATCCACTGCTTAGAGATTATAGTGACTAATGTATGTAATTCTTTAAGTGTTGACACCCTCTTAAAAACATTTGAGAAATGTTTTAGATGAAAATTCACCAAAGACTTATCTATGTTTGGTCATCCTATGCACAGAAAAGAAATAGCACTGGATAATACAACAAATATTTAATCCATATGGTTTAAAATTATATACCATTAATTTACCCAAGGCAAATCTATTAACAATTTGGTAAAAAAATATGCAACCTAAAGTAGAAATGTGCATTTGGAAAATTATTTTATTACATGTGTGATAATTCACATGAGGTTTTTAAACACTACAAATTTTATTGGGCAAATTGTCTCTTAACATCAGTTCAATGTGCAACTAGGTTCAACACACAAAATCATTAACTTCAGCCATCATCAATAAATTCTGTGCATAAAGTGTGTTCTCAATTCACAACTTGTATCTTTATTGGGAACTAACATTTTAAAAAATATTAAGTAATAAGCATAAGGAACTAGACGGATGGCTCAGTGATGAATAGTGGGCAGTACTCTTGCCGAAGAGCTGGGTTCAATTCCAAGAACAAGGTCATGTGGCTGGCTCAAGACTACTTGAACTCTAGCCCCATGAAGATCCAACACATCTGGCCTCTGTGGGCATTTGCATTCATGTCCACATACCCTTCTACACACACACACAATTAAAAATTACAAATAAATTTTAATAAATAGCAATCATAAGGAGATGTCAGAAATCTGGCTGGCTTCAAGGCCCTCCACGCAGGCTACTCTAATCATACAGTGTAAAGCTAATTGTTAAAGAAGGTCTTATGTCTTAGTGTAGATTTTCTTTATCTTAATTTAAATAAAAATGATCATTTCAATGAGTTCTATTAAACATACACAAGGTGCTGAAACAGAGGTAACCCTTTAAACTTTCATAGCCAAAGGGCTGCTGCCTCTTTCAACCATGAGCCCAAATAGTACATCATACAAGGGGCAAAGTAGAAAAAAAAGTGACTTTCAAGATTATTTTTTCAGTGGACTCATGGAGCTGAGGATTAATGCATCACTCAAATGCTTTAAAGCTGGGCTTCCATTGAGATAAAAAGGTGGAAAGAAAACTTGCTTTTTAGCTTTGATTTATTTATGAAATTTTCCTCATCTAAGTACATAAACGACAAAGAAAAAAAGAAGCTGCATTCTTACCCAGCCACAACTTAGCTCAGATTAAAGGATGCTCTGAAGTACATGATTATTTCAAAAAGGGCAATAAAATGCAGGGACTAACGGACTACAATTTGGTATTTTCTTGAGCTTTACAAGCTAACGTTTATATGTGCAGGCCAAGCCTAATTTGGAAATCTTCCTTTGGCACATTTCTGTGGCAGCACTTTTGATAACGATGGCTGTGATCCAACACATATTTATAAGGCTTCACATTACAGTACACTTCATTTGCTGCCAGCTTGGCATCCCCACTGGAAACTCCAAGAAAAACAAAACAAAACAAAACAAAACAAAAACTTCAAACAAGCCTGGAAAACAGCTCAAAGTCTCCATTCCTTTCCATCTGGGCTTGGAGCACAAGCTTTTCAAGAGGCAATATCACCTACCTTCTTGGCTGCCAATCAGAACTTAAATTAATTAGACCGAGTCAATAAGAAAAATGCCATACCATCCACTTAGTATGATTTAAAAAAAAAGCACTGCTTTATCCTCTTCTTAAGAGACTTCGAACACACTGGCCTCTAGTAATTCATCTAAAACATGGTGGGTGAATGCTACAGAAACTGAAACACTTGATACTCTTCAGAGGTCAGGAAGGAATGTGTAATAAAATGAGCATCAGTATTCATTTTAGTATTGACAAGATACCAATACTGATGCTCCCAATTGGCCTGTAGAGTTAACACAGTCCATGTGTTCAAGGTCAGAGGCCAAGTAACACAGGCCTCTAGAGAATGTTCAAGGCAAGGAATGGGCTCA